TGACCTGCATGCTGTGTTCTGCATGACGCATGTAAAAACACTGCATGCAGGCCATGGGAAAACAATACATGCAGGTTACATGCAGGCATGCGACCTGTTATGTCACCTGCGTGCAGTGTTCTCCTGTGACCTGCATGCTGTGTTCTGCATGACGCATGTAAAAACACTGCATGCAGGCCATGGGAAAACAATACATGCAGGTTACATGCAGGCATGCGACCTGTTATGTCACCTGCGTGCAGTGTTCTCCTGCGACAGAGCCCTGGATGGTAATAAGGACCCAACAGGGTTTTATCTCTTCATCACTCCATTCAGAACCAATGTTTTGGATGTGTGAGGAAGGGTTAGAAGCTTGTTAGAATTTCAATGATCTCTAGCTCTTACGACGGTGGCGGAGCGGAGCCTTCGTTGGTCTTATCATAAATTTTATTCCCATGGGGATAAGGCTGGTCAATTGTTAGCTGTTAAATTATCTCCCAAATTGCGTAACTACTCTACTCCTAAAATAAGATGTGCGAATGGGATATACTCACATAACCCTAAAGTGGTAGTACAGGAATTTAAATCTTTCTATACTCGATTGTATGCTAATACCCATGCGCCCCCTAAGCCGCTAATACATCAATTTTTAAGATCTGTGGCACTCCCTATCCTAGATCCCGTAAAAGTGTTTCAGTGATGGCTGGACAAGGGCTTGTATAGAATAGGACAGTACTTCAGGAAGGGGAGGCCCCTGACATTGGAGTATTGCAGGGAGACTTTGGATATGCCCTTGTCAGAATTGTTTCGCTACTACCAAATTAATCATTTCCTGCGCACTATATTAGCACAAAGTGATTCTGGTAGTGGTCTCACCCCCTATGAACGCCGGTTCCTTCAGCCTATTAATCAAAGAGGGGCTATCTCCCTGCTCTACTCCATTATGTTGGAGCCCACCCCTAAACAGCCATACATGCTAGCCTGGGAACAGGATTTAAACATGGTAACCTCTGAAGAGATATGGAAGCAACGCATTAGGGCGACGACTCGGGGATTGTTGAATGTCTCACTACTGGAGGCTAATTTTAAAGTCTTTTCTAGGTGGTACTTGGTGCCCTCTAGACTGGCTCACATGTTCCCAGGATCATCACCTTTGTGTTTTCGGGGATGCGGGCTTGGGGGCACCATGTACCATGTATGGTGGTCGTGTCCTTGCGTTTGTAGATTCTGGGGAAAGGTTCTCAATTTAATAGTTCGGGTCACGGGTGTGCGCATTCCTAGGGACCCCGGATATGCCCTCCTTAATGAGGCCGTCCCCGGAGTCTCGAGGCACGGTACACAATTGATATTCTTTATATTTTTGGCAGCTAAAATCACCATTGCTAAGGCTTGGAAAACCACTAGGATATCATTGAGGCAGGTGAAGAATAAGCTGTCTTGGATCATGACCCATGAAAAGCTAGCAAGTATTCTTGCGGATAAAGTCACACAATTCGATCAGATCTGGGGGCCTTGGCTGGCTTATACAAGTCCTACAATAATGTAATTACATAAGGGGGGGGGGGGAAGGAAAGGAAAGAGAAGGAAAGGGAAAGAGAAGGGGGAAGGAGGTAAAAGAAAAGGGTAGAGTTTGGACCCTAACCCATCCCGACCAAAAATTAAACTGTTACTGTTGATGTTAATATTGCATTTTTTTTAATTTTTTTTTTGTTTCCTTGTTTTCTTTTCTTTTTTTTTTCTCCCTTTTTTCCCTTCCTTTGTGAGTAACGGTGTGTTTTGTGATTCTGTGTTTCGAAGAAAACAATAAAACTTTTGAAAGATAAGAATTTCAATGATCTGTGACCCTAATTGGAAGATTTGTACTCACTTCTTTCTCTGGTGGTTATTATCTCCACAATAGAACGCAAGGGTACAGCCAGAGTTTTATTGTTGTCACCAAAGAGCATACCAGTTCCAGTGACAATTGTAAAAGGCGAGATTTCCTCTAATTTTGGGGAGATTATCTTTTGCTTCCTGTTGTGTTTGCAGAACAAGAAGTGAGGAGAAATCTCCCAAATGGAACACAAATAGCCAAAAAAAAGCCCCCAAAAAGTCTAGCCCTTCCACAGTTTATCCGGAACTAAAAAAAATAATGTTCTGGTCAAAGTTTCCTTTTAGTCCCCATTCACACCTAGGCGCACCGGGAATGCATGTTCGTGCATGTTTTGTTCCCACGTTTGCCATGCATCCCCATTGTTTTCCACAGGTTCTGCACACACGACAAACAAGCAAAGTATTACATGTAGCAAAATCTGTGATGTTTTCCGCGTTTTTTTTCTTCCACGTTTGTGCGGTTTTTTTTACGCGTGCAAACGGAGGAAAAAAAAATGAATTTGCCTGGCCATGTTTGGGGTGCCATTAACTGGTAATAGCAAAGTAAGCGCCTTTTTAACACATTTCATGAATGTGTACATTTTTGTGCGCGTTTGCCACACATTCACGCAAGGCTCAGGTGTGAATAGGGACTTAGTGGTTAAGTGTTGTACCCTCCTCATAATAAGCTTACATTCACAGCTAAGCATATTTCAGGCGATTTTTTTTTTTTTTACACCATTTTGCACTTTTTTAGGTGTTTTTTTTTTTTGCTTGAGTGTTAGGAGGCAAAGTAGGTTACGTAATAGGAGGTTAGGTACAAAATTGCGTGCATGTGTTTTCCAAGCATTTTGCAGGCACACTTATTGAACTCTACAAGGTCAAAAATGTGTGATACTGCCCATGTACTTTTTTTGTTTCAAGCTACGCTCAGATGTGAACAGGCACCACTGAAAATAATGGGATTCTCCATGTGGAACATTTTAGCACTTTGGAAACTGCAACAAAACACTCAGGTATGATACAAAACACTGAGCTAGGAATGGGGTTTAAGGTGCTTTTAGTGGGTGCATGTCACAGAATTAAATGACTGGGTCATTAAATCACTCTTATAGGAAGCACTAAGGGCAATGACAAAAATAAATTTACATCTACGGATTACCTATGGAAATGATGACGCAAAAATGAAAACTTGCAGAAATGCTGTAACCCGTCTAACTAGCAATCATCTACCAACTAATAAAAGTGTCGATATTAGTATGTAAATGTATATATGCAGACTAAGGAGATATCAAAGTGATATTAACCTGCTGCAGAAAAGAAAAAACAGAGTCCTGCAAGTTATCTCCTTAGCCCTATGTGTGTTTACATCAATCGGGATTCATATCTTGATAACACATTTTGTAACAACATGAATGTACACTTCAATTTCCAGAAGAGCACAGGTGACGTCTCTGTACAAAACTTGGCTGTTTGTTTACAATGGAACGGGAGATGAAAATAGTAGCAAATCCCTCCAGCAAGATGGCGCTCCGAGCTGCAATGCTCTTGGCACAACAATTTAAGGGTCTGACATATTTAAAATCTGTTTAATCCCCTAAAATATAGGAGGCTTGGATTGAAACAAAAAAAAAAAAATTCTCCTATTTGTTTGGATTAAAACAAACACATCCTTTATCTGTATGTTGAGACTCGGTGAACGATTGATCATAATCACCCACCATAATGACATGCACACAGTGCAGACTCTTCGTGTATTTTCACATAGTACAACTGAAAGGTCTGCCATTGGCTGGCATCAGACCAAAACAACATTGTACCTTTCCTACACACATTACAGGCTGGGACGAGATAATAACGTGCAAGTACCTTTAATAATCTTGCATCATTTGCTTTCTAAAGCCAGGAGGTGGATTGCTAGAAATGATTCTGTTGTTGTAAACGACACCCCAAAACCCCCCTACAAGCTCTGTATGTGTAACATCTAGGACCACATATATTCCAGCATTCCCAGCTTCTACGATGATCATATAGGACAACTGTATTTTCCTATAAACACAATTTCAGGTCACATGTGGATTAATATTTTACTATCAGCCAAGTTTAATACCCAGTAGTGGTAAATCATGCCTGATGGGTGATACTTATGAAGTCAATGTTGCTAGCTTTGTGAACATATGTCAGGCACTGTTTTCCATTTATCTTATCTTGAGCTGCAGTACGATGTTATGACTTTTTGGGGTTACTCACAGACGGAAGAGTATTAATAGGATTTAGGACCTGTGCACCCCTTTTTCATAAAAACCTGTCCCCCACCACAGTCATAACAGCATTTAAACACTACAAAAGTCTGTTTAAAAGTTTTGCAAAAAGCTGCCAGGTGTTGTCAGAAAGTGTCCAGCCTGTGGGATTTGGGGGTGCTGGTATGGCAGAGTTTGGGGTGTACCCCATGCTGTTGCCATGTCCCCCAGGAGGGCTCCAGACCCTCCCACCTCTCCCTGATGGACATACTGTGCTCCCACGTCTCTGTGTTAGTTGGGGTCGCTTCTGCTCGCCCCAGTATGAGGCAGGGAGGATATAGGCGTCCTTTTTTGAACCCTATGCGTGGCTCAGGGATGCACCTTTCCCTTGCAGGAGCCTTGTTTCGAATGGGCCCCCAGGGGCCGATATACGGGGGCCAGAATGGACGAAATGCTTGTGATTTTACCAACAGCACGGCACTTTTCCGGGCTCTCACGGGGGCAGTGGGGAGTCCCGGGACTATAGGACAGGGGGGTGTGAGAGACCAAGGACTGAGCTCACAGAGACTACGAACAGGAGATTGGCAGAGTGCCTGAGAGCTCAGAGAAAGGACAGTTTGTGTTCGCGAAGAAACACAGATAGTTGAGGAGCGGCGCCATGTCTGCCTCTTCCCGCCCGCAGCCGACAGTCTTCAACTGGGTCCGACCTCAGCGAATAAAAGGCGGGAACCGGCGGGAGGGGCCAGCAGAGGGAGGGAAGGTTCTCAGGAGAAGAGTGTTTGTGACTGTCGCTGAGCAGCAGAGAGAGAGACAGCGAACATCTGAGGCGGAGACACCTTCCATGAGGACAACAAGACCTCGAACACTGCCAAAGCAGAAGAAAGAAAAAAAGAGGGAGATTATTAAACTGACTTTGCCCTCAGAGGCAAGATCTGAGACTGGAGCAAACTCCAAACCTATTGACTTTGTTACGTGTTGAATAATCCGTCACTGCTATATGACATAAAGGCTGTAAATACATCTTAAAGACAACACAAGTGACCCAGCGGATTTTAGCAGAATTGCTTGTGAAGAAAACAAACCTGCCTGCTAAGAACTCTTGAATTTGACATTTGCAGTTGACCATTCTATTCTTAATCTCCCTGATATTGTCTGAAGACACCAGAGGCTGAAATAGAGAGCTTAGAGACAAAAGAATTACACAGCTACCTTCAGAAGAAAGTTTTGTGCTCTCAGGCACCTGCAATAAAAGCTAAAATGGCAGAGAACTCATCTTCCACACCGGCCGCAAAGCCCAAGAGAACTAGATCATCCAAGAAGTCAAATGACCACCCCAAGTACTCTGACATGATAGAGGCCGCTGTTCAGGCAGAGAAGAGTAGGTCCGGCTCTTCACGTCAATCTATCCAAAAGTACATTAAGAATCACTACAAAGTCGGGGACAATGCAGACTCACAGATCAAGTTATCCATTAAGAGGCTTGTGACCTCTGGCACCCTCAAGCAGACCAAGGGTGTTGGGGCTTCTGGGTCCTTCAGGTTGGCCAAGTCTGACGAGCCTAAGAAACCATCTAAAAAACCAAAGAAGGAGGTCAAGAAACCAGCAACTCCCAAAAAAGCAGCAAAGCCTAAAAAGGCGGCCAAGTCTCCAGCTAAAGCCAAGAAGCCCAAAGTGCCAGAGAAGAAAGCAAAGAAGGTGGTAAAGAAAAAAGTAGCACCCTCACCTAAGAAAGTCAAGAAGACAAAGACCGTTAAAGCCAAACCTGTAAAAGTATCAAAGGTGAAGAAGGCAAAACCATCTAAGCCCAAGGCAAAAGCCAGTCCAAAGAAGTCTGGAAGAAAGAAGTAAACAAAGCTCTCCTAGTATCTGGACAGCTCCTGTACAGTTTTATAACCTTTTCTCCTCCAGTCCAACTTTCTAAACATGATCCTTGTAATTCCTACGGACAATATGATGTTTATTTATGTACATATTTTCATTTTTTTCATTTTAATATATGTGAAGGGGATTTTAAAAATATGTTGATGGCACTTGTCTGCATTCATTTTTGTAATGTATAGCCTGTAGCTTAGGTAAATAAGACAATGAAGACACTTTTGGCTTAAGAATAACAGTTGCATTAATTATTTGCTAAATAACTTAATCATAAAGATTGAAGGTAAACAGATTCGGTAGTGTTGATCCAAATGATAAAAGATGGAAACATTGCGTGCACCATTATTCATGCATTTTATTTTGTTGTTGTTCGTATATAGACGTACAAGTGTACCTGCTGGAAATGATTACTTATGCACTAGTGAAAATACTGGAATAATAGCCATTGTTATCAGGCTGTTTTGCTTTAATAGGAAATCACTAATGGGATGTTTTTTCAGTAAATTTAGTCAGGCCTAGCACTATATTGATAGGAGTTATGCAAACAAAGAAAAAGTGCCAGACCCCAGCTCATCTTTACAAGTAAGTACAATAACAGGTCCATGGTCTCCCTAGGTAGTTCGTAGCTGAAGTGTTTTGTTTGCAAACCTTGAGCTATTCCTATTACCTGTTGGACGTTTGCTTCACAATTGCATTCTGCAAAGCCATTGCTATTTTAGTTTTCTACATTATGTAACAGAGTGGTCATATAGACCTATTCTAGGCTTTCCAGATCTCCCGCATCTTTAATGTTTTATTTGTATTTGTGACAGGTCCTAGTCATAGAATACAATGTAACAACGCTAGCTTGAGTATGCACCATAAACTAGAAATGCAGCTCTTTTTAAAATAATATGTTGATTGTTCCTGTCCTTTCTAACTCTAGAAAAGAGAGTGGGCATCATGCATGAAAGTGTCTTAAGCAACTATCTGTCATGTCCTAAGGTAGCCAGTCAGCTTCTTCCTTTTATTTTAGAATACCCTCTAGAATCATGAAAGGAAGAAGCAGATTGGTTTGTTAGAGTAGTGCAGAAAGGGGTACTTTTAGATCCTTTTATGTATGGGTGTCTATATGTCTATTGAATCATGTCTGTCAGAAACAACAACAAAAAACCAAACCCCTGCTGTGTAGTAGGCACCCTCTGGTGCCTTAACTCAATGTTACCACAGCAATCCACAACCCTGATTCCTACTTCAGCCCCATTGGAAATCCTGCTATTTCTGTGAATGGGGCACACTGCCACTGCACTCCCGTAATGCTTAGATAGATATCTGTGTAGTTACAAGGCATAATCACTGTCGTCTGGGAAGAGAGCGAATGGGGATGTGCCTAAAACTCTCCAAGAACTGACTGAGTAAACATTTATTTTTTTCTTTGTAGTGGAGGCAGCACAGATTGGGAGGCAGGTTACCCCACTCCAAGGGGGAATTGTAGAAAGGGTTTTTTTTGAGAGGTGTGCTTTAATAATACACAGTAATATAATAAAGAGTAAGTTCATTGTAAATTGTATGTTTAAAGGAGAACTGAGGTGAGTGCTTTTCACTCACCTCATAGTTCTAGCCGACCTGTGACAATGAGACTGTCACAGGTCGGCTCAGTAGATCGGGAGGTGAGCTAACACATACCGGCGTTCGCTCACCTCGATCCTGTCACGGCTCTCTGCCGGGACAGGGGAGGGGCTGGATTCCCCCCTCTCCGATCCGCCAGCGCTGACTGGCGGGACGGGGCGGGTACAGCTGGCTCTGCCTCTAGATAGGCAGAGCCAGCTGTCAGTCACGCAGCTGGGCGGATCCCAGCACAATTGTCGGGATCCGCTTCAGCGGCTCAGTATACCTGCTGCTCGCGGTATACTGCGGGACGCTAGTTTGTGTCCTCCCGTTACCCTAAGGAACACTATGGGGAAAAGACTTAACCCCATAGTTCTCCTTTAAAGGCCAGCACTGTTTAAGAGCTAGAAAAATACACAACACATTACTGTATAAAGTGAGAAAATGTTTCAGACTAGTAGGTGGCTGTTATTTTATTTAAGTACATGAGTTTTAAGTAAGGATTTAAAGGGAAGATTTTTGTCAGTGGTGTTAGAAACTATCATGTAAAGCCCAACTCTAGCTAAAACTTTTTTTTTTTTTTTTAATTGTGCACAGAGTGGAAAAGGGTTAGAACATCTATCTACTGCTGTCTGTAAGTCCATTTGGAAGTTTCCCCTATACGTTCTATCCCTGTGACACCAGGACCAGAAATAAGAGCAGGTACATGCAGGATGGTAATTGCAGACGTTATAGCCTTTCCCCACTCTGCTACAACAAAGTGTGGGGAATTTATCAAAACTGGAGCAGACAAAATCTGGAGCAGTTGCCTATGGCAACCAATAAGCTTCTCTCTTTAGTATGTTCAGTTAAGGTTTGAAAATGACAGAGAGAAGCTGATTGGTTGCCATGCACAGCTGCTCCAGATTTTGTCTGCTCCAGTTTTAATAAATTCCCCTCAATGTGTTTTTGTTGTTGGCTCAGTCCCCATTGGAGATATTTTCCTGACCCCCTGTCACCAGGGCAGGAAGTGAGCGTAAATCTCTCCACTGGGGACAAAGCAAGCAAAGTCCTGGCAATTGTTAACCCTTTCCCACTCTAGTAAAATAAATGTTTTGATTAAAGTTTGGCTTTAAAATGTGTTTTGCTTTATAGTTTAGCTATAGTGAAATGTGATCCTCTGTAATTAAGAATCTGAAAATAAAATCAGGAATCCTGTTTTGCTGTGTGGCTCAAACTTATTGTGGTGTAGAGTGAGGTGAATCTGTGTGAACTAGACATTCAGTCCTGTGCGGGAACATTTGAACCAAAAAAGCTTATTTTTCATATGACTAAATGTTTTATAATTTAACCTCATACTACAGTAGATCAGGCACAGGAACATTAACCCCTTGCTATCCAGAGCAATTAAATTTTTTCACACACGATAAAAGCTGATTTTTGTGTCTAAAAAACAGCTTAATACCCCCAAACAATTATATATTTTCTGAAAGCAGAGGCCCTGTAGAATAAAGAAATGCTAGTTGCAATTTTTTAATGTTTATCAAAGCAATATTTTAAGGATAAAATAGACTAAAATTAATTTTAGTGCACAGAAACAGAATATAATACCTTTTTTTGGCAAAAGAATTAAAGGTGGGGTTATGTCGGGAAAAAAGATAACAAACATGTCAAGCCTTAAAATTGCGTGCACCTGTGAAATCGCAAAAATGACAATACCCAAAATTTCTTATAGGCAGTGCTCAGCGGGGCCCCTTTAACCCCTTCACGACCAACGACGAACCGTGTACGTCACTGGCATCGGGGGTGTTTAAACAGACTCCCGGCGGCTTAAGGGGCATGCAAGCCCCCCTATGTGAGGGCAATTAAAGTAAAAAAAAACAGTTTTTAAAATAACATATAAAATAAATGTAAAAATAATTTAAAAAAATGTAAGTGCCCCGCCCCGCGAGCATGCACATCTTCACGTAAACATGCGTCGGGTGCGCCTACGTATGAAAACGACGAACGCGCTACACATGTTGGGTTTTACTGCTCACGCCGGAGTGAGAGCAATAATTCTAGGGCCAGTATTTTTGGGAATCTCTAAACTGAAATCTTTAACCTGGGCATGTTAGGTATCTATTTACTCGTTGTAACCTCATCTTTTCTATTATATTTTAAAAATGGGTATTTTATTGTGTTTTGGGGCATTTAAGTGCATTTTTCAAAAAATTTTGGGGTTTGATAAGGAGTTGCGCTAATATCATGCAACATAAAAATTTGCATCTGCCACCATTTTATTCTATAGGGTGTTGACTTTCAGAAAATATATAATGTTTGTATAACCACTTCAGGACCAGGACGTTTATATATGTACAGTGGTCCTGAAGTGGTAGATACACTTGACTGCATTTTACTTCACTCTACACTTTAGTAAATCACTGTTTAAACCTTAAGGCCCCGTTCACACTGAGCGATTTATCGCGCGGTAATTCCCGCGATATCGCGGCTATTTACCGCGCGATATCGCTCTCCAATACAATCAAATGGGGCTCTGTCCGTCGCTGTCGCGGGTCGTGCGTCGCTACAGTAGGACCCTTTTTGGAGCGGATTTTGCCGCGATTCTAGCTTGCTCAATGCAAGCATTTGCGCGATATCGCGCAAAAAGCAAATCCCTCGACAAACGCGCAATTTGGGAATTAGGCCCCATTCACACGTAGCGACATACCTTTTGCAGCGGCCGGGATAGTGTGACTTTCGGGGCGACGTTCCAGCGACGGTAGCGCGACCTTCTCCGTCGGGCTCCATTAGAAAAAAGCAAAATCCGCCGAAAAAAGGGTCCTGTAGAAGCGACTGCGACGAGCGACGCGAGACATGGAGCTAAGACAGCTCAATTGAATATCATTAGCCGGCGACTTCTCGCGATATCGCGCGGCAAAATCGTGCGATATATCGCTACGTGTGAACGGGGCCTAAGGCTGGGTTCACACCTTGGCGTATCGAATATGCGCGTTTGTCGCGCGTTTCTTGACGCGCATTTTTACCGCGATTCACTGTAAAAAACCGCGCAACAAACACGCGTTTCCGAGGGCTACCTGGCTGTATCCCAATGGAAACGCACGACAAAAACGCCCCAAAGAAGCTCCTGTACTTCTTTGGGCGTAGGACGTTTTGTAGCACGTTCATACGGCCTGTAATACGCCCAGGTGTGAGCCATACCCATAGGAAATAATGGGATTTCGGTGTTTGAGCGTTTTGCAGAGCGTTCGAATGCGCTACAAAATGCCCAGGTGTGAACCAGGCCTAACAGTGAAGTGTGAGGGAGGTATAATATGGTCTCTCCAATAGGCTCCATTCACAGCTAGGCATTAGTGGTTTTGCGGATATGAGAGCATGTTTTGTCTAGCGTGTCAAGCACGTTTATGCGCGTGATAGACAGACACATGAAGACTCACATTTTTGTGAACATGACTATGAACACAGAAACTTACATTTTTCGTCACCTTTCCTCTTCATATTCTCCTGGAAATGGCCGTCTCTGTACTCTGTGTAAATTACAACTGAGTTCTCTATGAGGACTTCACCCCCCATTCATTATTCTTCATAGTGGCAGCCCCTCCGCCCCCGGACAGTGCATTGTGTGCAATGCCAGAGTTGGTGTTTAGTGATCATGGTACACAGAATCACAGGGAGGGGGGCAGCTGTTTACAGC